AAATATTTCTCCGGCTTTTGTAACCGATCGCATTGCAACAATATATTGAATGCGCACGTTACCAGGGCTCGATACGTCGGCCAACATTTATATAGGGTGACTTTTATGCGTCTGTAATGAATGCCCTTCACTAAGAAATTATAGTTATTTGACGACATCGATGGCCCAACGATTTCTACTGTGGGCGCTGGATGAGGAGGTCCCGTGTTCGATTCCTGGTAGGCCCAGTTTAGGACATGAACTTTTCTTAATTGGTTCTTAGTCTGGGTGTATACATAGTACAGGGAATTCTTTAGTTTGGGACTAGGCAATTGATGTGCACATTATAGTCCCCATCCCATCCAGATTGGCTTTTACTATGGGGAGCCTTTTCAAATATTGACTATCAATATCTTAAAATATTTTTTTTATTTATGTATTAATATTTACAGTAAGGGACATTAATAAACTGTCACTCTGTATGAACTTGGAACAACTAATTCCCACTATAATGCTTGTACGACTTAAAAAGTCCTAAGATGTAGCCTTGTAATTGTGCAGGCTGCACGGTCGCATTCACTGACGTGACACAAGAACTCCGAATTATAAATTAGTTTTTCTTTTATAAATTAATAAAGAATATTAAATATCTGATAGTTTTATAAAATTCAAAGTCCGTTCAAAGCTTCGTAGAAATCGTGATAATACTTATGCCTCATTTTTATGTATCATAAAGTCAAAAACATCACAGTAAATATCAAATGTATTTAATTAACTTTTCTAAGAAAAGAATGAGTATATGCCCCGAATATCATGTTTTTAATAGAAAAATAAGTGTAAGAAAATGATAATTTTATAGTTTTTGCTAGTTGCTTACTAAAATTCTAATACTAAAATATTTTAAACAGATTTTCGTTAAAATGTGATATTTTCGTATTCTATGCCAGAATTTGTTGTTTATACTGTTAAATGGATTTCCAAAATTGTTTTAAATAAATATAATGTTAAGTAACATTTATATTTTAACATTTATTCCAATTATTCTGAATTCTATTTCCGAGTATTCGCATCACACAGAAATAATACCTAATATATTTTTTGTTATTCTTATTGAATCGATAACTATAAATCTAATAGATGAGCAATATTTTTGTTACTATTAGTCATTTAAGATAAAACTATGTAAGATATTTCAAATTTATTAGAAATAAATGCTAAGTAAATTATATATTGTCGTTTTTGTAATGATACACCAATAAATGTTTCTTTGTTTCTTCACTGGACAATGTACTAGTACCTAAATTATTAGTCACAATTGCTTACTTTTATTATTACCTTGAATATAGAAAAAAGAAATACAGTACATTCTTTTAGAGATGAGTATTGCTAAACCTCACTACGGAATAGCACGTATATGTCAAATGTAATTAGGTAAATATCTCTCACTTTACAATTAGAGTCTTTTATACAACGCAACATCTTTAATTTTTTATCTGAGTACAATTTTATTTAATTAATTATTGCGTGTATACTAGACCCTAATTATTGTATTTATATGCAAATTTAATATTTATTCTTGAAGGTGAAGTATGACATCACTTTTAATTGTGGAATCAAAATGTAACTAACATGTACGCTATATTTTCATTTATTTATGATATCTTTTTATATGAAAGGAAAAGTAAAATTTTCGGCCGAATCGAAAAGTACTGTACTTACGAATGTCTCATCAACCTTTTGAATTTCTTTTTATTCCTTTTTGAATTTCTTAGAGTACAACTATATTATTGTTAACGTCGTATTATCTCTCGTATTATACTTGCATTTATTTTTAGCGAACAACGACGTGGTCGTAAGCAATCAAGAAGTGTCGAATCCGAAACCGCCGGAACCGAGCCGCCCGCCTCCACCAGCACGACCTCCCGCGGCGCCACATTACGCGCCCCCTCCGCAACCCACGCCCGCCTCTGGAGGTCTCTTCTCGTCCATAAAAGGAGGCGCTGGAAGCTTCCTGAAGAATTTGAAAGATACTTCTTCAAAGGTCATGCAAACAGTTCAACAGTGAGTATTATAAACAATTTTATATCGTCGATTAATGGATTTTAAGCCTTTTTAACTTCAACAATCACCAAGTTATCTATATACAAGTTCGCTCCCGTCAGATGTAGCTTAGTTTATGTGGACATTGGATATGGAGGTCCCGGGTTCGATTCCCGGTGAGGCCAATTTGGGAAATGCATTTTTCTAAATTGGTCCTGATCTGGGTGTTCTGGGTAGTGCTCCAGAGTGAATTCCGTCGCTCATAGTACAGGGAATTCCTTAGTTTGTGACCAGGTGATTGTTGCGGTTGGTCATACATTATTATTGTTATCGTTTATGTGAGTCTTGATGACTGGAGAGATTTGGACCTTAGTTTCTGCTGGTATCCTCGTGCACGTTTATGATGCAAACTTATAAAAGCATACTGGTAATACAATTAAATCGTGAGCTGTTCAATTTGATTCGACATCATTGTATTGTAATCTATATACATAGTACAGTGGCCGTAGCATGGTAGAATATGTGATAAACCTCCCCATGACCATATTTAATTCAGTTGATAAATCTAGGTTTGCTTATTTGGTAATGAACTATTGTTATACATTTAGAAGAACAAGGATACCGATATAAAATTGATCTTTGTTGTTTAATCATTGCCGTGAAAACCATCTAACAAAAAAATGTCTTTTCATTTCGTTTGTCGTTTATCACTCGAATTTGACACCTAAATGTGGATATAATAGCTTTATCGAGGCGGCATACTACAGATATTTTCGAGAAAGAGTGTTAGGGTTTGACCATAATTTGGTAAAGTCTATTATTAAGTTTCGCATTGAATATGAATCTTCATATTTCCCAGGTCCATAGCTCGAACAGATCTCGACATAACTTACATAACTAGTCGAATTATTGTGATGCCATACCCCTCTGAAGGACTGGAAAGTGCTTATAGGACTAACCACATTGAAGATGTCAGGGTAAGTTTCTCCGAAGGAATGGCTTTTTTAAATTTATGATACTAAGTGACACGGGACGAACAAGTCGTGTGCTTAGTGATAAGCGACATACCTTTCCATAGCAGTTGCAATGCCACTCGGAGTTTTAAATCACAAAGATCTGAGGGATACTTGCCTCTGTGCCCGTCACCTTGAGACATACATTGACAAGTTCCATGTGCCTGAAATTTCACCAGCCCCTTAACTTCCAAAATCGGAACGGAAAATTGGCAGCTTTAAATAGGAAGATGGTAGTACTTCCCCGGACGAACTCCGTCACAAAGAGCTCTACTGCTACAATTTTTTTTATGGGTTGAAATGTCCGTTCTATTAGTGTATGAATTACGCTGGACAGTGGTCGGATAATCTTACTCGGTTGCTCGCTAATGTGGAATGCGGGCTTGATGAAATTACTAAGCATAAGTAAAATGTTATTTGTTATGTAACATTTAAATTAACTTTAATATACAGAAAGGGAAAAATGTCTAAACTTCGGACATCAAGAAAAATGTATAGTTAAAAATTTTAGTTTTTCAACAGCTTTTGTGGCCGAACAGTTACTATGCTGGACTGCCACGCAGAGGTCCTGGGTTCGATTCCCGGGTCGAGAGAAGTATTTGTATAACATAAATTTATTCCTCTCGTGAGTTTGGATATAATTTGTGTTTTTTTTGTGTGTGTCCATGGCACCCGCGATACAGGGTTTTCCTAATGCTAATTTATGGTCCCATAAAAAATAATTACCGAAATTATCGTTCAAAGTTTAAATTTGACAATTTTAGCTTTTCGCGGAACTGAGATCCAGTTATTATATTCCTGGTCATACCAGACCCTTAATATGTGTTATGAACCAAAACCTTGTGTATTTAAAATATAAAAATCCTAAATTGCCACGCGATTTCGGGATCCCGGGATTTAAAAGACGAATTAGGCGTGAAAGCGTATACGTTATTCGTGAATTCTTGGGCAGGTATTTCTCGAAACCCGCCACCCTGGCGGGCAGTATTGCGTGTACAACGCCTGTCGAGGCGCCCGCCTGCACTTCCCGCGCCACGTGCTTGTGACGGACGCGTGTCGCGCGCTGTGGCCCACTCCCGCGCATCGGGCGCCGCTGCTCTCGCCGCTCTACGTGCTGTTGCAGCATATGTACCAGAACCTAGCCAAGGACGATCGGGGTGCCATCGTTATTACCTGTCAGGTGAGATATCTACTGTACAGTTGATGCCTTAAAGCACCTGGGGGCCTACCACAACATCTTAAAACAATACTACTTTAACCTTACATTGACTTTTCGTACCACGACGCGCTTAAAGTAAGCTTATTATAATGTTAAAAGTATAATGTTTCATTGGCAGCTTTGTGACTATTCATTCACTCAGTTCGTACTATGACGCGACTTTATCATTAAAGTAATATTGTTCTTATGTCAAATTTAGCAATCTTAAAATAGTTACACGGATGGAATTGAAACAATATTGTTTTCAGTTTTATTGTCTTAATATTGATTTGTAATGATTAAAAGTTAACTTGAACTTATTTATTTACATATATCTCTTCAATATTTAGATTTTTTTTATTTATTTCGTAAAATTATGACAGCGACATCTATATGCTCCTTGGCGACACTAACAGTTGACACTAGACTATAATTCCGAATTCACAACGTGACAATCAAGATTCAGCTTGTTTTATTTATTTTTCTTCATGAAAATGCGAAAAAGTAATTGAAAACAACGTAATTTCAATAGATTTTATTGTTACATACTTTTTTTTAATAGTTAAAATTCTCTGAATGTAAATTACTTAAACATTATACTACGATAAGACGATTCGAAAATAACAAAAAAAAGAGATGGCATTATATAGTTCATATAGCGTTATTTCATTACTATTTTTAGTAAGGAATAGACAATATTGGAAAATCATTAGTTCTTTCAATCACTTTAGCAATAATACATTAGTTGGTTGACTCATGGTACCAATATGAGTAATATTATAATAAGCTTATTTTGAGCTTACATTGAAATAAGATTGTTTTTGAAAAGGTTGTGGTAGGCTCCCTGATCCCCTAACTGTGTATTTGGTTCTGAGTAAATCAGCATAAACAAAGGTGTTAAACAAACTTAACCTTTAACTAGGGAGCCATAAAATTCATTTTGGTATGCCTTCCTTATTGCATTGATGAATGACATTTTAAGAAACTTTTTAAACCAATTTGATCTTTAATTACATTATATAAATACAAATTTCAACCAAAAAGCTGCAATTCTTTGCACTTTTCTGTTGAATGCGTTAGGTTTTCAGAACCAAATGGTTGGCTAAGGGATCAGGTATCTTTGGGCATCGACACACATCTCTATTACAAATTATTCATTCGACGTAATATTAGCTAATATAGTTAGCCTATATTTAATGGGATTATTCCAACCGCTGGGCACGGGCCTCCTCTCACAATGAGAGGGTTTGGGTTGTAGTTCCCACACGGGCCCGATGCGGATTGGGAACGTCACACACATCATTAAACTGCTTTGCAGATGTGAGCAAGTTTCCTCACGATGGTCTTCACCGAAAAGTTCATGGTAAATTTCGCACACAAATTCCGAAAACTCAGAGCAAGCCCGGATTCGAACCCGGTCATGGGTTCGAATCCTCTTTGAGAGGCGGTAGGTGAAAACAATTACCTCGTAATATTATATTACAGCTACCACAGCTGTTGATGTAATAAAAGCAGACTATACACTGAATGAATATATATAATAAGACAAGCAGTCAAACCCCCACCTGTTTGACACGTCAATGGCTACATGTCACATTTTTATTTCAGTTGTACTTACTACCACCGTAATTTGACAAAATTAAGGTATTCATCACATTGCTTTCGTGCTGTATTGAAATAACCTTTGTCAAATGCAGTACTTACATATTGATTTTTATACTAGTATCGCGGATTGGTATCTCGATTATTGGAGTATGATGATGAAATAGAAGTGAAATGGTGTCCGTCATGATGGCTGGACCAAACGAGATATACAAATCAAACTGGGCGCATTATTTACTACCTATTTGCTATTATTTTGCTGTATTTGATTGAGGTTCTCTTGTTCAAACAATTATATCCACAACAATAAATACGTCTACTATTTGATGTCATTTTTTAAACACCGGGTGCACGCATCAATTCTATAATAAATGGCGCTTGCGACAATCCGCGCTATGCAACGCAAGTGCCACGCAAAATAATGAGAATGTGTGCGTCCCAACACGGCACGGCAGGCGCGCACACACAAAAGCCGCGCTGCTACGTTTGTATGGAGTTACTTGTTATAGAATAACACTCGTCATTGTATATGTGCCCTGAGTGTATATTAGAAAAATGTTAAAAATTCAAAAAATCCTCTAGTTTTATAACCGCTCAACCTATAAGCTGGTAAGGTAAGGACATAAATTTCTCACAGATGGCGCTACGGCAAAAAAGTGCTTAAAAACCAAAAACAAAGATTTACAAGAAGCATATAGAATAAATCATACGGTCTGCTGGTTCGTTGCGTGGCTTAATTGGCAGAGCTCTTGGATTGACTGATGGTGCTGGTTCGAATCTACCTGGTTCGAATGAATTTTTATAAGTGTTCGATCTTTGTTATTAATAATTATAACAAACTAGTGAAGTAATAATTCAACTGCCTCCGTGGCCGAACGGTTACCATGCCGGACTGCCACGCAGAGGCCCCAGGTTCGATTCCCGGGCCGGGAGAAATATTTGTATGGCCTACATTTATTTCTCTCGTGAGTTTGGGTGTAATTTGTGGTTGTCTATGTGTGTGTCCATGGCACCCGCGACACAGGGTTTCCCTAGTGCGGGGCTATGTTGAGTGTGTGCGTTATTATTTTAAAAAAAAATATCACAAAAAAAAATTGAATATCATGGTAGTAAAACACCGTGACATTCAATAAATTTAATAATTTACGCTTGTTTTGTAGGACGGCAAAGGCATGTCCTGCATGCTCCTTTGCGGACTCCTGTTATACGCAAAGCTGGTGACGGTACCCGAGGATGCGCTGCAGATCTTTGCTGTGAAGCGGTCGCCTATCAACTGTCCGCCTAGTCAGCTCAGATACCTTTACTATTTGAGCAATATTATAAGGTAAATTCAGTGAGCCGTAATAAAGAAAAATACAAGCACCCTAAGGCTCAATTTACATCGCGGTGGAATGAAAGCATCAATTTCGCCTCGCTGCGCGAGAAGGCACACGCCTTGGTGCTGTAATATTTCGTCAACGTTTGACGTCACACTACGGCTGTCTTCGCGCTACTTCCCGCGGATTCGTCAGGCGTCGCCGACGGCAGCTGTGGAATTCTCGCGAATGCGCGACGTGCTTTTTGACTCGTATCTAGTTTGTACGTTACACAAGTGACCATTGACCAAAGTTCATTATACTATGTGCAATGTCGTTACAAAAATTCGCTTCCATTCTGTTCGACTGCAATATAAATTGAGCCAAGCTTTGACTTTTACCACCATTCACTTTAATTCCCTGTTCATTACTGTAACTAGAGTTGAAAATCCTGGAAACTCTTTGCACGTAGGTGAAAAACAACCTCTAGAATACAACGTTTTATACAACCAAAAAACATCAAAAATCAATCATTCATTATGACAGCAATAATAGTGTAGACAAACATACTCAATAATGAAGCAATGAAATTAGAAAAATAATTTTTAGGGAATTGACAAAGTATGAAATATAAAACATTTGCCTGATAACAAATACGACAAAATGCATATGTTATGTTTTTGTTAATTTATTTCGGGAGTTTCCCAAAAATCTTAGTTTTCGAATATTGATATTAATATTAACATAATATTGTCACTTTATTATTGCGGGTGCGATATGTAAAATATCTCTTCAAACTTCGGTGTTTTGTAGAAAACACCATTTCTAAACATGTTTCAGGGTAGCAAGTTTTAATTTTAACGAGTGTTTGAAAATATTTACGTCCTGTTTTAAAATTCTATTTCGGTTTCAATACAAGACGTAAATATTTTAAAACAGTAATGAAAAACATGCTCCCCTGAAAAATTTTTCGAAATGGCGCTTTCGCGCTTTTTACAAAATGATGACATGATGACATTTTATGGAACGAATGAGCACATCTGTTTTCAGACCTGAGCCAATACTCCCTCACTTCAGGCCGGTGTCGTTGGTATCACTCACTATTCAGCCCGTGCCTCTCTTCACGAAAGCCAGGTAAGACAACTAAACTACACGAACCAGATGAATCTATTGGCTAATTAACTACACATGTTTATAGTTGAAACAGCATTATTAGTAAGAAAAAAATTTTTTTTTTTTTTGAAAATTTTAGAAGTGAATGCAGACAACATGAACTGATATTCCTTCGCTCACCTAAACTTACTATATTTAAAAATAGCCCGCATAACTGCTCAATAGTAATATACAATAAGATCCCATGTTATAAAAATTCGTTTCTCTAAAGTGAAGAAAAGTGCTCTCAAAGAAAAGTGATATTACACTACAGGAGAATTTTTAAAGGATGAAGAAATATTGTCTCCTCGAATTAGTTCCTACATCAATAATAATAATTAGTATTTAAATTCATTATTTTACGAAAACTTTGATTTGTTTTATTAAGATCTTTTATGATTTCAAACAATTCAATGTTTTTGTGGTGTATTTTCATTTTAATTTTTGTTTATTAATTCGATTATTTTCTATTTTGTAAGTTTTTATTTACACCCGAACAGGGTACATGATATGCAAGTTGAATTTTTTGTTTCAAGTTTTTATTGAATGTCATGATAATTATGTTTTACTACCGCGATATTAATTTTTTTGTGAAATTGCTCCACTAGTTTCTTAATTATTAATAAAAAAAGATTTAAAGAACACTTACAAAAAATTCCTTCGATCCGGCTGGATTCGAACCGACGTCTTTTAGCAAACCGGAGCAGACACTATGCGGACTAAGCCACGGTACGAACCAACGGACCTTAACGAATTTTTCTATGTGCATGTTGCAGATGTTTGTTTTAGATTTTAAATCTTACATATTATTTATACATATTTGCTAATAAATAAATACTAATGTACTGTATCAAGTCGGAAAGGATTGTTCGATTGCGTCATAAGAGTGGCTATTGACCTATATCATTAGAAGCATTAAAGTTTTAGATATCATAGTTCATATAATATGTGCAGGTTCTTAACGCTCTTTGGATCAAATGACTTTAAGGGTCGTATTCCAGAACTCTACTCAATGCTCAGGTCAGGATCGGAGTATGATTTCAAGCACCGGAACTACGACCCTAATGGCAGGGTCTTGAGTATGATTTCGAGTGCTTAAAACCATACTCAAATCCTTACTTGAGCATTGAGTAGAGTACTAGAATACGACCCTAAAACTGCCTGCGTGGCGGAAAGGTTACCATGCTGGACTGTCACGCAGAGGTCCCCGGATACGATTCCCGGGCCGGGAGAAATATTTGTATGGCCTACATTTATTTCTCTCCAGAGTTTTGGTGTAATTTATGGTTGTGTCTGTATGTGTCCATTACACCCGCGACAGGGTTTCCCTGATGCGGGGCATGAGTGTGTGCGTTGTTGTTGTTATTTGATTGTTATATTATCGTACCACAGAGACGGATGCAGACCGTACATTGAAATCTACAACGAAGACAGAATGCTGCTTTCCACGCTACAAGATTACGATAGATTGCATCTTTACACGATGGCTGAGGGCAAGGTACGTACCGACATAATAATATGTTGTAAATATTTCACATATGTATGTAAACTGTCACCCCTCCCGCACCGCGCTGCTACCAGGAGTCGATACGACCTCAAACGGCTTTGGTTAATTCCGCATAACAACGTAAGTGTTGAATCGAGCACTTTGGAAATAATATATAGTAAAATTAAGGATATACGACTAGTATATTTTGTGAAAACACGTTTCCTAAAAATTTTCACGATAGAAAAAAAACGTAAGCTTATCTCGAAATTTTACAAGTAAACAGCTGTATTCAATAGGTACTTTACATATACCAATTATTTTTTTTATATCAATGAACTGAATAGAACACGGATAGTATACGATATATATTTTTCAAATGGCTTTAATTTCGTTTCTAAATAAATAAATGCTGAAATAAGGCCACCGTCCCCAAGCAAAATGAACCATATTAGTACGGGAAAAAATTAAATTCGAGCTGAGATAGTATTGACTCTTAATCGGTAGGACTTTAGGTACTGCTGTACATAGCTATATTTAGAACGTACATAATTTTATTGTGAATAAGACAGCGCGCTTTTCATTAGTTAAAACGATCACATGACGATATTACACCGGTCCATTTTCATTTAAACCATTTTCTTGTTGTATTAGGTTTGTTCGTGATGGTACCTGATGTATAATTTCAATACACTTAATAGAAGTTTTTTGTATTTTAAATAAATATAAAAAAGTATTGTGAATAACAACCACAATCAACTGTGTGAAAGATGACGTGGATAAGAAAGGTGTGAGTATGGAAATGACGGCTGAAAGGAAAACACATGTTGTACCGACCCCACCTAGCGTGGGATAAGGACAGGAAGGAGAAGGTTAAAAAAAGAATATACAACATCTATATTTTCATTAAGACTGCCTATATTGTTTATCCTTTCTGTGAAGACGTGAAGCAAAAGAAATATTGGATTTAAAATGTGAGCTGCTAGTTCTAATATCTAAACACTTGCCTACCATTGTATTAATACATTTGAAAGCTCTACTTAAGCGTTCATTTCCAAATGTTCCCACAGGTGACCCTCCCACTGGACACGACAGTAGTGGGCGACGTGTTAATATCAGTGTACCACGCAAGACAACAGCTAGGTCGCATACATAATGTGCCGATACTATCAGTCTCTTTCCACACTGGTTTTCTGGCGTACGACCAGCATGCCATCAAGTTTTCCAGGTATGTTTACAACTTTCCAAATACTTTTGTGTATTTTTAAATATTGTCCTAAGTAGGGACGTGGAATAGTATCGATACTTTTTGGTATCAAGTGCTTTTCCTTCCGACACCGATACTTTCGTACTCGATACTTTTCAGGTATTAGTACTTTTTGACAAGTATCGTATCGTTGTGAATAATTTCTACTTAGGACACCGCATATCATAACGCAAGCCACCTTGCGATTTTTTTTTAATAGCAACCTTCGTCACATATGACTTGGTTGTATAGTGTATGCCACCATTTGCCTCTTTATAAGAATGAGAATGAAAAAAAATAATTACAAACATTTGAATTAACATACCTGACAAACGTTATGTTATTTGAGTACCTCGCAATTCCGGCGGAGTTTGTTCCTACTTTTGTTCTCAAAAGCAGGTAATGCATTATTAAAAACGGGAAACAGACTGTTACCAAATAGATTTTTGTTTTTAAGTGATTATACAGAGGAGTGAGAAATTTATGTAACACAAATTATGTGAAATGACGATTTCGATGACGATTGATGAATGACGAGTCTTTTATTTCAATTAAAAAACATAAATAAAATAAAAGACTTATTAATTCATGTGTTTTATTCTGTCTTCAAGTAGGGAAAAAAGTATGGATACCTTGAAGTTGTGGACAATAAATAGATATTTTATTTTTTTCCTATTAAACTATTAGATTTATGGCAAAATGTGATGTGTTAATATTTAATTACGACAATAGGATCTCTCGTTTGGCACTTTTTTTAGAGAGATATCGTAAAAAAACCCAATGTCCGCAAAATCGCTGATCCGACCCACTGTTTCGCAAAGTTATATAAATAAATATGTATAGTGTTTCTGCCTGTCACTAATTACGTCAATTTATAATATACTTAAGTGATTTCCCGAATCCCGAACAGGTCCAGGACCTAAAAAATATTGCAATTGATTGTAAGGCAGTCTCCATTTTCTGTCTATGTTCCTCGAAGTTTAGGTAAAAAAACTCTGCCTATTCCGATCCCTGATCATGATAGACAACATCATAATATGTTGCTCTGACCCCAAAGTAAGTAACTAAAGCACTTGTGTTATGAAAATCCGAAACAACGACGGTACCACAAATACCCAGACCAGATATAATTCAGAAGTAAAATTTTCTACAATGAACCGGCCGGGGATCGAACCCGGGACCTCAGTGATAGCGTCACCATGAAAACCAACGTGCAAAACACTCAACCACTGAGGTCGTCCTTGATGTTTTATTATCATGATTTTCTTATATTTTTTCTGAAAATATTTATTATTATTGATACAAAGTTGGAATACAAAGAAAAATTCCTTCGAACCGATTGGACTCGAACTATTGTCTTTTGCAATGCCGGAGCCACTGCTCTTTACCAACTGAGCTACTACTCGAGTCACCATCTTACAGTGCTTCTATTTTCTCAATGCCCCTCGGCAATCATCGGATTTCCGAATGCACACGAATATTAATTTCCACGCCCATTAATTATTAAATGTAAAATCTATAATAATTTGAATTTTGAACAACTGTATTTTTTGTTGTTTTGTTTTGAATTCAGTGTGAACTATATAGAGCTGTAAAACTATTTGCCTATTTTTTAATAACATTTACTCCATGCCAATGAGCAAGTTAACAAAAATGTGAAGTAAATAAAGTGTGCTTTTTTTAAATAACTAAAAATGAATATTTTTTTTCGGTTATTAATCATTTCAATTCAGTCCGTATCTGGACGCATTTCTTCAACTGACATAGCTATGTTAGTATGTTCGCCATCGATGGAATAATCACTTTCCGCGCTGCTCGAACAGGTATTTACTATAAAATTATAAATAATAAAAATGATAATAATAATTGTAATAAATAAAAATATAATGGCAACTTTATATATTTCCAAGTCGACTGAAAGCGTCCGGTCTGTGCCAAAGGCAAAGGGCAACTGAATAAAACCTGATTACAGCCGAAACACGAAGGTTGCCGAGAGACCTTGAAAAAATATGGGCTCGGGAAAAGCACTGTACTTATCTCTTAACTTAATTTTTCTTTCCGTTCAATCTTTGTATAATAATATCAATGTTCCTTTCAGTGGAAGAAATTAATTCTTTCTGCTTCTTCTTCTTTATAATGTTGTAGCTACATGGATTTAATAGATGATTCAGTTTTTTACTTTAAAGTTGACCGGTGAATTTCGATAGAATTCGTTGAGAGGAGAATCTACAACAACAGACAATATACACAGACTATTACAGAAACAAATTGTTACTTTCAATAAATTTACACAGGACATACTCAAAGGGGGAGTGGACTAACATTAGGAGGAAATGGATATTAACGGGACGGGGGATTTTAGAGGGGAGGATATCATAGAGAGTGACGATATGGTTGCCGTTAAAAAATGCCATAATACATATGTCATATTGACTTTGTCAGCTTTGAAATAAACCAGTTTTTTTTTTAAACTTGCACTAGGGAAACCCTCGGTCGCGGGTGCCATGGACACACATAGACAACCTCAAATTACACACAAACTTACGAGATGAATAAATGTAGGCCATACAAATATTACTCCCGGCTTGAGAATCGGACCCGGGACCTTTGCGTGACCGACCAGCATGGTAACTGTTCGGCCACGGAGCAGTTTTTTTATACTATTTCATATGTTTTATTTATCGATATATTTTCTTAAAACAGGCCAGAGATCGATGGCATAGACGATTCACTACCGGTGAACGATCACTTCTCAAACAACACGAGCGTGATAATCAGTCTACTGGTACAGAACAAGGAGCGTCGTAAACCACGTTGCGACATTTGGGAAGCGGACCATTCGTTCCCTATTAGAACACCCGATGTATTGTTCTCTACCAATTTGGAGAGAGATGAGACTATTGACAATTTCGGTAAGTCATTATGTTTACTTTTTACAACAACACTGTAACAAATACCGTATTTCGCGGTTCCTACACATTAGATTTTTTTTTCGGATGTAAAACCGATATTTTTCTTGTTAGTAAATGTTTGTTTTTTTTCAAACTCCGCCGTGGCTTGTGACCTGCAAACAATCGCGATTTAAGATACGGAAAAACAGTTTCATTTCCGATATGTAGCAATCACGAAATACCTAACAAATCGATTAGAATCACCTGTTTCAAAATATGGTTACACAAACTGCAGATTTTTTTGTGCATAGATTCATGAGTAAAATCACCCCCGAAAAATCGAGTACAGGTTTTCGATATTACGTTTGTTGAAATATCTATTTAAACTTTTTGAATTTCTAATATACTCAGTACGAATTGGAACTCCGTACAAATGTAGCAGCGTGACTTGTATGTGTGTACGCCTACCACGTGCCGTATACGGACGCACATATTCGCATAATTTCGCGATGCACTCGCGTTCCATTATTATGCAAATGTGTACGACCGTACACGGCGCGCGGCGGACTCGCATACAAGCCGTCGCTGCTACGTTTGTATGGCTTTACCGTACCTATTATAATTTATTCACTAGGATTATTTATATTAGTAACACATTACATTAATTCTCAACTGAACTATATATAAATTATTGTATTGAAATATGTATCTTATGTTTATGCAGCGAATCTTCGAAGCAACTCGGCATTGCCGCAGACAAGTATGTCTTAGAGTGATTGTTCATAAGTAGTTTTTTATAACAATGACAATATTATATTCTTTTTGTTTTCTCACTTATTTAAATTTCATGACATTATTTACATTTATATATTTTTCTCTCACATACGTGATAAATTTATTTAATTTTTTTATACACAAGATTCACAGCATGCAGCACTTACAATGAATGTGTCATTAGTTCATCCATAATAATGTTTTCCAAACTTTGAGTTGGTCTAGGTTTTTCTAATGCATTAGTTGTGCACTGTAACACAATCACGATCAACGTCACTAAGGAAACTTTGTATGAATTGAACTTAGTCATGCAAATGTACTAAAAAATAATTATTATTTACAATAAAACCTACATAATTTGAGATTTCATGAGAATGGATTCTCATTATTCTCAACATTCTCTTATATTACTGTTTTTAATATAAGAGAATGTTGAGCATAATGAGAATGCATGTAAAATTGATTAATTTTAAATTTACTTATTATTGGTAGTAAAAATGTTATGAAAAATGAATGAACGAAAGATCTTTGTTTTTATTATAAGAATATCTTGTTAGGACACTATGTAACGAAAATTAATGTTAAACTTTGAAATTTAAACGTTACACCAATAAGACTGATAAATTTGCAATAAGCATTGTAATAATACAGTTTCAATAAAACGTCAATTAAGACAAATTGCAAGGCGTAATAAATGAATTTACAGTCACAGCTGACGAGTACCCTCAAAAGGAGACGGAGAAGCAGCCACCTGCTCGTCCAGCACCCCCCTCTCCGCAACCCCCGCCACGTGTCGCGCCTCCTAAGCCTGCTCCCCCTGCACACCCCGCACCGCCATCACCTCTCACGTCCTCCTCGGCCACCGCGGACTTTCTAAATCTGAACTCCTCGGACGCCGCTCAACAGCCCAAAGCGGAAAAGAAACTAAAAAGCGAGGAGTCCTTCGATTTCTTCGGTATGATGGAGAAGCAGGATGATGCTTTTGGCGACTTCCTGAGTGTTCAGGCTGCGGCTGATAATCCTACGGTAAGATATATTCTTCATTTACTAAACTTTTAAAAAGGAGACGTCGCAAACATTATATATATTTTTAGATGTACATCTAAAAAGAAATAGTTACATGCCCAGAGAACTTACTCAGCTAAATACTCATGCATTCTTGGTAAAACCGGCAGGAATTGACTTACCTTACTTAGGCGCTGCTCTTAAAATATTATGGTATTTTATAGCAAGTTAATAGGCATCGCAATTACACATTACTATGAAGCTTTACTATGAATAATGTGTAATTTAGATTCCCTTCTTATAGTTTAATACTAAATAGCTTTGTTTACATTTGTTGTACTTGTATTAGATTAAGTTATATTGAAATAAATTTATCTTTATCTAATAAAGTTTAGAAATAGATTTCTTATTAATAGACATCTTTTTTTGTTGCTACCAAAAGGTCATAGATCAATCTTTTTGCAGCCTTTCTCTTCCGAGTCCATATTCAGCGATCTACCAGCTCCACCCACTGAACCAGAAGTCACTGCCACAGCAAAATCGAGTGACATTAATTTCGATCCGTTCGGACTCAACGACCCACTGCCTAAGCAAGAACCGCTGCTTACGCCAAAGATGGCCACTGATGATGGTAAACATTTTATAAGACAAGTAAAATCATATGGAAAATTTTTGATATTCTGACTAAACATAATTTTCCGTATTTATTTAATTAATGCTGTTGAAACCATTAGTAATAACTATACGAGTATACATAAAATTTAAATGTAATTTTATTAAATGTCTTTTTAAGTACTGGAGCCTCACATTTATATTCACGATTGTCTTTAACGACTGTTAAAAATTAAAAAAAAAAATTATTATGGCCTAGCGGTCACAAGAAAGTAGCTTTGCATATAAATATTTCGATACCTCCAATGAACACTACGCCAACATTATTTTTTGGTCATTTTCTGTTATTTTTGTAAACAGCCTTATTTATTTACTGATTATACTCTCCGAATTTAGTGAAAAAAAAGAAACAAAAAACAAAATAATAATGAAAAAAAAACGAATTTTGTTAAAACAAAGTAAAAACGGAACAGGTCAAAAAATTAAATTGGCGTAGCATTCATGGAGGCATAGATTTAACGTTGTCACTAGCGATAACTGTCACTGTGAACTGCTGGAAAAGAGTTCAAAATTTCGCACGTCCTTTCAATGAATTTACTATACCGAGTATACCCATATACAATATATATATATACCCAAGCCCTTTCCTAATAGCCAAATGCCACAAGCGATGACAGATTGGCGTCTTCTAGTGTCATATGCCAATATTCTCTTTCGGTTGCTGAGCCAAGGTAGTTAGTTCTAATCTTATTTTGCAGTTCGACAACAAAACCCACCTCCAGAACAAGCTCAAACGAAAAAGGACCCGTTCGCAGACCTCAACCTTCTCGGTGCTAATATCCCCACAAGTATCCCTAATCAGCCGACCGCCCAGCCGGGGTCAACGCCCGGCATTACACCTCGAGCGTCTCCGGCACATACTCCGATGCACCAAACGCACACACCAGCGCGTTCGCCTGCGCATCAACCTGATTACAGGTATGTCATTTACTTAGTCTTTCTTTCGATATTTATTCGTTGAAAAATAAATATTATGTATAGGTTACAGGCTTTCCGAAATCAGTCTCTTTACCATGAATTTATAGTCATATTATGCGTCGTTAACGACCGCGTAAAAAATATGTGTAAAATGTTACTTCTTCCTGTGACTACTAGAGGGCGCTGTACCATTTGCCAAATGAAATTGTCAAATAATTCACGCGATTGCTAGCGACAACTGTCACAGTAAGCTCATGGTAGAGTTACAATAAAGCAACGGTAATAGCAGTGACGTCACACCTTACTGGTACCATACAAGATTCATACAAAGGATACTTTTGCGAAAAGGGGCGGAGCATCTGTACACTACTGACTATAGTCATTTTTCTGGTCTTAGTTATCGAGTGACAAATATGCATTATTCAACTTAGTAATGAGAGTTTATTAAGGCAATAAAATTTTGCTATTTAATAAGTGCATTGACCTTGCACAGATATTGAAAAAATTGTTGATCAGTAGATTGACTTGACTTTGACTTTAAAATTACTTTTTAGCCGGCCCTCATATTATTATAATTTTTTTAATACTACCTGGAGAGGATTTGTTTCCTCTAGTGCTCATAGTCCAGTGAATTTCTCACTCTTTATATCGCACATTTGTTATTTTTAGTCGAGCGCATTTTGAACCTGCTAAAACACCAGCTGACGACAAACCCAAGAAGTCAGGCGATGTGTTCGGCGACCTCCTTGGCAGTCAAGGCTACGACTTCGCCAAACGTGAAGCTGGACCCAGAACTATGAACGCTATGCGGAAAGAAGAGATGGCTAAAGAAATGGACCCTGAAAAAATAAAAATACTTGAATGGGTTAGTGTACTGATTACTACTATCAATTGTTAATTAATAATAACGTACACACTCATAGCCTCGCACTAGGGAGACCCTGTGTCGCGGGTGCCATAGACACACACATAGACAACCACCAATTACACTCAAACTCACGAGATAAATAAATATAGACCATACAAATATATCTCCCAGCTTAGGATCGAACCCGAGGTCTATTGCGTGGCAGTCCAGCATGATAACCGTTCGGCCACGGAGGCAATTATAATTAGCACGGCCAAATATGGCATAAAAAAAGACAGACCACCACTTATTTTAACCTGTTTTTCACAAACATACAAACCCAGCGAAAGAGCGTTTGCTTCTTATTTGGTGAAATTACAGGCATATGGAACTTGTCAACTTATATATCAGGCTAGGCGCAGTGGCACTGTCCCTCAGATTTTTGCGATTTAAAGCTGTGAGTGGCACTGCAACTGCTACGGACAGATGAGTCGCTTAACACCAGGCGCGCGACTTGTTCGTCCCGTCACTGGGTAATATAAAAAAAAAAAAATTACAGGTGGACGGTTGGAATATCAGTCGCGTCATGTATCATGTTAGGTACATTTGTCAATGTTTAGCAGCAAATACCTCTCGCTAGCGGTGAAGGTAAACATTGTGATAAAACCTACATGTTGAAGAAGGTTCACAAAGCTTGGCTAACGTGTGAAGTTACCTAGCCTCATAGGGCGGCGTGGCAGATTGCCTGAAGCTTCTCGGAGGAGGAGACCCGCTCCCAGCAGTAATGTATGTACTATAATGACGATGTTTTTCACACGTGTTTAGCCCTTTAATTGTCCTATCAATTTCCAGGCCTACTTTAATGCGGGGCAGTGAGTTCATTCTTTTTATTTCAGACTGAAGGCAAGGAAGGGAACATTCGTGCACTACTCTGCTCTCTACACACAGTGGTATGGGAGGATTGTCGGTGGACGACGTGCAACATGTCGCAGCTTGTCACTCCCGCTGACGTCAAGAAGAACTATCGCAAGGCTTGTCTTGCTGTTCATCCCGATAAGGTAACAAAATATTACATACTTTTAACCTATTAAAATAATCTTTTGAGTAACATATCCCAAATTACAACTAACATAGTATTATCTCAAAAATTGCGCTATGTTGGAGGCTTTTTGGTAAATAATATGTAAGGACAATGTTTAAGGCTCTAATTATATTCAGCGGCTCAGTCGCTCCATATAAACTCACAGCAGCGCGGCCTATGGGTGTGCGAGCCTACCGCGCGCCGTGTATGGACGCACACATTCGCGTAACCTCGCGATGCAGTCACATTGCATAACACTAGTATTCCAACGCGTTCATTTCATTATTATGCGAATTTGTGCGCCCGTACACGGCTCGCGGCAGTCGCGCTCACATGCAAGCCGCGCTGCTACTTTGTACAGAGTTACCTTACTTTTCTTAATTTACTGTGCTATACTTTTCTAACGATATGTGATATAATAAATAATCCGAATCTAAGAACTTTTTATCCCACGGAAGGTACATTAAACTCTTGGATTAACTACAAAATAAAATGTGAAAATTACTTAACAAAGAAATATATATACGAATACGAATACATCATGCTTGCCTTTACATATTTTTTAAGAGTTCTTCTAATTGAGCAACATTTGTTTGAATCGTAAAGAACAAAAAAATACTTTACTCGTTTTTTTGGAAATTTTCGCAAATGTAAGTTAAGTCACTGTTTCATCGGATGTGCGTGTGTTACGTGCGATTGGGTTTTGTACATTTAATAATTTGCTAATGTTATACGCATCAACTGCCTCCGTGGCCGAACGGTTACCATGCCGGACTGCCACGCAGAGGTCCCAGGTTCGCTTCCCGGGCCGGGAGAAATAGTTGTATGGCCTACAATTATTTCTCTCGTGAGTTTGGGTGTAATTTGTGGTTGTCTATGTGTGTGTCCATGGCACCCGCGACACAGGGTTTCCCTAGTGCGGGGCTATGTTGAGTGTGTGCGTTATTTATTATTTATTATTTTATATTTCATATTGCAGCAAGTAGGCACCCCTAACGAGAAACTAGCGAAAATGATCTTTATGGAACTGAATAATGCGTGGAGCGAGTTCGAGAACGACGCGAAGCAACAGAACCTATTCCAGTCTTAACCTCGTGATTATTAATTAACGTAAGTGTTATTGTCAATGCTTGTGGAATATTTCGAAAAAAAATCTCCATTTAGTTTAGCTAAAACTGTTTGATCATTTTTTCTCCAAGAATACTATAGGTCTTTAACTCAACCACTCGTTTTATAGACAGAGGCTTAGTGTTTCCCCATGTGTTTCCTAAGTTTCCAACAATCCCGTACCATATTCTCTGAAGAGGGAACCTCTTCAAGAACATAGCTTTTAATAGAAAACAACTTTTATATTTATAATTAAGAAAGATTCGATGTATTGGTGGTTTTATAACTATTCAAAATATTTCACGGGCATTTGTATGTAGTTAATAAAAGGCTTCTATAGTTATACTCCAATATATTTTAAAATAACAATGATGTTCCCATTATGTAGGTGCAAGGAAATGAGTCGGTTATTTACTCAGAAACTTAAAATATTACCACTGAAAAGGTTCAATTGTTTATTATAGCTATACGTTAAGTTACACTTATAGTTCCGTTACTAAACGAAGGGCTCCGACAGCTCATAGTTTGCAACTAAATTAAATCCAAACAAGAAAAATGTATGTTGCGTAGTCTTATGTAAAATGATCATATCTTTTTTGGTAATTATTTAATAACAATATTTGTTTAATATTGTTGAAATCAATGTCAGTTGTCAGACCTCTTCAAATTATATTAACCAAACCATATTACATTTATGAAGAAATATTGGTCAGTGTTAGCTTTAAAGATTAACGAAAACCCTGTTATAAAACTAATTTCAGTATTCAATGATAATAAATGAAAATATCCACGCCTTTTCTTAAATATACTGCGTGAAGTATAGAAAGATATATATAGATATTGTAAATGAGGATATATGGGTAGAGCGCACGTTAGGAAAAAAATTGTTGGCATTTTGTAGCTAGTTGTCGGTTTTATGATTCATGTTTGTAGCTTCAAAACCTAGTTATAGTAAATCCATACATATTGTATAGACAGATATTAATAGAAAACATATATGTACCTTCTTTTTTAATTATTAGGTACACAATTATATTGAGGCTTTGTTGCTAAAGTAACATGATCAAACTACTTAGCACTGAACACTTAATAATATTTGAACTTTGTACTTATTGTATCTGAAGTATGATGAGAGCAATTGTGTAGCACACTTTATAAGCTGGTCGTATGCTGAATTTGGATGGTTTTTTTTTCTTATTTATTATTAGGTTTTGCGGACAAATGTGAATTATTTTTAATAAAATTAATAATTCTGATAAGAAATTATCCGTCATAGGCGGGCGTTTAAACGAAAAACAATTTTAATAAAAAGTTTGCTATTTTGCTTTTTAATATAAGCACATAAACACGCTTAAAATATTAAGTAAGCGTTGCTTAGTTCAATACTCTACAATTTCTTTTTTACAACGCTCCGAAGCATCAAGTCCCGCCATCTATGTTTAAACAAATTAATTTGTCAATGTGAACAATAATGTTATAAATAAAAAATAAAACTTATGTTTTACAAATAAACTTACTTATCTGCAAACCTACTCTTAATTTTCGTTGTCAACACAGTGTTGCAAGCTTTTTCACGTAAAGTTTATGGGCTTAAATATTTTTCTAAACGGTTTTGTAAGCTTCAAATTAAAGTGTTTAGGTGAAACGTTCGTTTATAAATGGTTTATAAGCACGCTTATTGACTGCCACAATTAAAAAAATATGACGACGCTTATTTCAAAAAGTACAACGTTTTAACGTTTAAAATTTATAAGCAGTTTTCTCATCTCATCATAATCGTAGACGCCTTTCGTTTTCGTTCTGCCCATAATTTCTTATCAAGACACCGCTGATTTTGGACGCCAAAATATATAGGCGAATCGTATAATATTATATCGTATCAGGTCGTGAAAGTGTGCGTTAATGCTTACGGTTACAATCCCTCGGGCGCGTTTCCATTACGTCGTAACGTTTTATTTTGTTTTGTTGATCTGTGTCGTGGACGTTTATTTTAACGTTGAACGACTGTCGTGTCTAGCTGCTCCCACTAGATGGTGACGGCAATTTATCTGTTCACGGCAGCTGCCTTGTCGTTTACACTACAGTATCACATTTACAGATACTATTATCTGTCGTCACATTTTTATCGTACATACATACATACATACATACATACATACATACATACATACATAC